TACGACATATAAAAAAATCGTTTTTCTCTCTCTAAACTATATGTTAATATACGATTAAATAAATATAATTAAGTTCATTAAATCAACATAAAATCAAAATAGAAATATAAAAATCATTGGGATTTTTGCATCCACCAAAATCGAAGGCTAGAATGTGGATGGAGCCAAACACAATGAAATCATCTTTTATACTCAGTAAAAGTTAAAGCGAACCATTCGGTAACTCACGGAAGAAAGGGTAAGATTGAGAGATAGAAGGCCGGCCAAGTTAGTACTTTCTAGTATTTGTTGGTGGAAATGACCAAGACATGTTTCTATTTATAAGAGAAACCCTTTTTCTTCCGCTAGGTAAGTTGGGAAACAGATATTTTTGTCAAGACTTCTAAATCCACTTACTTTAGTGTATCACCGAATAAATATATAACACGAGATTAAATAGTATATGTGACTATAAAATGTTTTATGCTATTTAATTCGGTTCATACATATGCATGCATATATACCTACCTACAAACATACATGCATGTCACATGCATACATACATGCTACATATAGTATACTAATATGTTTGTAACAGTAAACATATAGAGATTACAGAATCTAGTTGCTTGAAACGTAACTAATATTATAAGTTGTAATTTCAAATTAGTAGATTACAGATTTTGGCTTAAAACTTACTGCTAATTCCAACAATAAAAAAGTAAAGATTTGGATTGTGTTATGAGACTTATGTAGTTTTATGTATTACGTGTTTATCACACAATATGAGAATATAAAAGAATTTTTAATGATGAGATATTTAAAGAGATTCTTAAATGAAAAAATATTATTATTTTAACATAATTATATTTTAAAATTAAATTTTAATTTAAATAAAAACTTTGAGCTAATAAATAAGATACAAATGTTATAAAAAGTTCTTATTTCTCTCTCATAGATATCTCAAATGAGAACTCTATCTTACTTTTCGCTGTTCCTTTTTTCTAATATTTTATTGTTGAAAACCTCTATGAAAACTTATTGCTAGGGATGCTGTAATATCACATAAATTTGAGGAGCATTAAATGCACTATGGCGGCCGAAAAAAGCTATAACAATAACAATTGACAAATAGAAAATAATAGAGCAAGTGAGATATGATTTTGCCAATGGCAGGACGCAACAGAAAGCCCTATTAGAATCACAATAATTTTTCGTGATTAACCAACGGATAACAGTACACTTCTATTTATCAGAAAGTCCAGACATGTGCAGATAACAATACACAATAATTATTGATTTAAGGTTAATTTCAGTATATTCTCTCAGTTATTGCATCTATGAGATTTTTATTCTCATCACTAAATACACCTATATACTCGAATATATATTTAAGTGGCTGCTTCATAGGTCAGGATGGAACTACGTTAGGTGGAAGCTTCGTATTTGAGTTGGAAGACAGCAGTCGATAATTTGGTCTTGCAGCGAAAGTCAAAACTTATGTTTTCTTGCCTTTAGATGCCGAATTGGAAGCATTCCTATAGGCTATGAGAATAATATTTCATGTGTAAATCACCGCTTTGATATTTGATATAGACTGTTTAGAGCTGATTAATCTGATAAAGGAGAAAGAATAATGGCTGGCCTTATCAACGGAACTTGAGGAATTTGAGTATTTGCGCTCCAATTTTTATTAATTTTATATAGTTTTTATTCTACGCTTACTTAATAAATGTCTAATCGTCTTGCTAAGAGCCCTCAAGTCCAAGGTCTGATCGTACCTCATGTAGATTTAATTTGTTTAGAGTGATTGGTTCTCGAGCGTAGCATCTTTAAATTTTAATTCTACATATGAAGCATTTGAAGGAAAAAAGAAAAAAACTCGTCACTAAATCTCCTAAACTTATAAAATTTATCAATAAACCATCCAAATTTTTCATTTTTATTTAATACCACATTTAAAATAAAATGTATGGTGAAAAATACATTTAATTAAAACAAATTTATTTTAACAATATATTTTATCCAAATTTTGATATGGAAAAAAATTTAATCTCAAAAAAAAAATCTCCTAATCCTCTGTGGAATTGCTGTCTATGTTAACATTTTATTTCGATTGAGAAAAAATATATTTTTATCCCAATCTGAAAATAATGATCACAAAGATTTACGTTTTTTTTTATATTTACATATTCTCAATTAGATTTTTACCGCAAATTTACTTCATCTGCCACAATTTTTTCAATATTGTGGAAGATCCAATTGCAATATCCAGTTTTTAAATATAAAATTAGATTAAAATTGGATTTTAAAATCGAATTTTCAATAATATCAAATATTTCTTATTTTGAAGATAAAAATTTATACACATTATTAAGGAATATCACTTTCTACATTTTTAAAAAATATAGAACCCTTCACGTATTAAAATTGTTTTAACATTAAACCCTATTGTATGATTTAATAAGCAGTAGTTTCTATTTATTCACATAATAAATTAATATTAGATATCGATTTGCTTACATTTCCTTGTTTTTGAAATAGTCTTATACTAAAAAGGTATTATCCACAATTTATTTTCTTGTTGTCCAAAGTTCAAGAATCTTTTCTTTAAAAAATTACAAGAAACTTTTTTTTGAAAGTATAGTAAAAAATTACAAGTATAATATGTCCGTTTAGGCTATATTGGTTTTGTACGTCCTAACAATGATAAAACATGTAAATTTAAAACTATTATGTTAAAGAAATACTTTGACAAAATAAAGACAAAAAATGTTAAAAGAAATCAAATGTCAAAGTCATGTTGCTTTTCAGATTCGCCTTTCTTAAATTAGAAATATTGTCGTTGAGTAAATGTTAGTAGTTTAGTACCGAAATTTAGTTTAATCATTAATATTAAATCATTTTCAGAAGCCATTCCCAGTCTGCAACTGTACTGGCTTTGATGCACGCTCACGCGTGACGCACTTCCCAACCCTCTCTCTAAAGCCTGCCCCCTTTTTTTTAATCCAAAACATGGTCAACCAATTCCAAAACAATATTCACAGTACACATAGTCATATACTATTGTCGAGAGTAAGTAATACTTGAAAGGGCGAGTTAACTTAAATTACAAAATTAAAAACAAAAGTTAATGAAATAACGAAATTAAGCCAAAATATTTCTCTTTTTACATAAACAAATACACTTTCTACAAATTTCAGTCAACCAACACTACAAAAAAGAATTGATTACATCAAATTAAATAATAGTATCACAAAATTAATATATTATTTCAAATCATTGCTTGCTCAACCTAGGGAAACTAACAATGGTTTTTATCACATACTGTTTTAAATTAATAAAAATGATACCTAATTTAGTAGAAAGGTCGATTTACTCATTATAACTGGAATAATTTAAAAAAATTAGAAAAGAGTTTGATTTTATTTTTAATATCACAGATATTACACGTATATAAAATAAATATAGACAAACTAGCACAAAGTGTTCGAAAATATTTGTATTATCTAGATTATGTAAAATATTTGTATAATTTAGATTATATAAATTTAATTTTCTCATTTAATTATTTGAGCTGTTCTAAAAATATTTAAATATTGATAAAAAAAACCAATATGGAAAATAATTTATCATAATTGGTGCTACTATTGACTAATTTAACATCAGTAAGAAAATTGTTACAAATGTATATTAGTTTGAATATTGATACAAGTTATAAAGGAAATTATTTTATTGATAATTTCAAATTAGTAATCTTTCAAATTATTTATTGATAAATGATATAAAATAAATGGTTTAACATCAGTTATGATAATTGATGTTGTGATTGACTAATTTAACATCAGTAACAAAATTATTACAAATTTATGGTACTAGTTTGAATATTAATACAAGTTTATGATTGGTAGACACGAAAGCAAAAATGTGAGTTATAAAGGAATATATTTTCTAAAGTGGGTTTTACAATTAAGAAACCCCACTACAGTGACTACACTACCAATCTGCGGCTTATGAACAATACAAAATCCGAGAACAACCTTTTTATCGTCTCAATTTCTAAATCAAATGACTCCAAAACAAATTATTATTTTTTCTCTACATACATTATCACCATAAAATGTTCCCGATGATAAAAATTTACACCGCCATTTTACATTTACTGATAGATTTAAGAATTTGAAATAAATTAATGCTTAATGTTGTAAAAAAATTGTATGGAAAGTATTTAATTATGATTGAAATTATGGTAGCAATTAAATTTTGTTTGTCCATGTAACAGTTGGACAATACTAAGATTAAACCAGAATCAAATTGTATCTTCAAAATTATGATGCGATCTACATTATAGTAAACCAAATCTTCTACATAAAGAATTTTGTCGTCCCCCTAACGATTAATCTTAATTACCCCTTTCAAATGACACCTATTTTCTTACCCTTTTTAAACTGCACAAGTTAGAATAAAATAAGATACAAAAAGCTTTTTTGGAGTGATACTGATATAGATTCCGGTTCAGTAACCAAACCCTTCAGGGTAAATGTACAATTATATATGGTCCTACTACAATATGATATTTTTGAGAATTAGTCAATGGATAGAGAACCGGTTCTTGTGTTGAAACAAAACCGTGTCTATTTCTAATTCTGCTTGGACCACCTTTGAGTTTGATTTTGATTCAATTTAGTTCGGTTTGGGAACTCACTAAAATCAAACTATTCACTTCAACTTGTTTCGGTTTAGTTTAGGTTTTAATTTCGGTTCAATTTACTAATTTTATGTAACTGAAATTTTTTATCGGTCTGGTTTATTTTTGGTTCTGTTTCAAATATTCTTTCTGAATCTCCAAGGAAAATGTTTTTTTTCCTTTTGTTCTCTAATGGAAGAAAAAAGGGAAATTTGGAAAGTAGAAACCAAAAATGGTAAAAATAATTTGATTAAAAATTTGCAGAAAAAGGGTAGATTGCTAGTGTTGAAGAACATCACAAACAGTTTAAGAGTATCCATATATAGATAGATCACTAAGATTCCTTTTTTCCCTCGCCAGAGATGAAAAACTTTTAAGCTCTGCTCGAAAATCTTTTGTCTCTCTTTCTCTCCCTGTCTAAATCTAAATATTATACTCTCTAAATCACTCTCTCTCTCTAGACCTATTCCATATTTAATCCAATAAATCTCATTTTCCGTCGACGTTCCTGCACATCAAAATTCCCACTTTCTCTCTCTTAGAAGACACTTGCAAGAACAAGAAAGAAAGCAAACAAACAAAAAAGCTCAAATTTTGATTTCTGGGTCTGTGGAAGAAGATGACTGTGGAACAAGATTTTGTTTCCTTGGATCAGTTTCCTGTTGGAATGAGAGTTCTTGCCGTTGACGATGACCAGACTTGTCTTCGTATCCTCGAAACCTTGCTTCATCGTTGTCAATACCATGGTTCCTCTCTCTCCTCTCCCCCTCTCTCTCTCTCTCTCTGCTTTCTTGCATCGACCAATTCGTTTTACTGGGATCTGTTGATGAGTTTTTCCAAATGGGTTTTTAGATTCAGTTTGATTTATGTTTCTTGATCTGAGTTTTGACCACTTATGTGGAATCTTTGGGGAAAAAATTATCTACTTAACTTCATGTAGAAATCATACAAGTTTATGATTTGATCTCTCCACATCATAAATCTGTTTTTCAGGATTCAATTTAGATTTTGATAAGATAGACATTTTTTCAAATCTCCATTTTATTTGCTCTGATCTACACAATCTTTCATCTCTACATGTGTCAGAGAGCTCATTGTTGAACTGAATTATGTAAAAACTAAAACTTTATTTTTTGGGGAAATTTAATTGTCTGCAGTTACAACAACGAACCAGGCACAAAAGGCTCTAGAGTTGTTGAGGGAGAACAAGAACAAGTTTGATCTTGTTATTAGCGATGTTGACATGCCTGACATGGATGGTTTCAAACTCCTCGAGCTCGTTGGTCTTGAAATGGACCTACCTGTCATAAGTAAGTCAACTAATTTTTCTTAATTTCCCATTTATTTTTTAAAAAAATCCAAAATCATCATTTTCCTCCAAAAGTTTTGATCTTTAGACCTGAAACTTGGAAAGTTTTGATCTTTCTTGATTCTTGGTTTGGCCTTCATGTTGATTTCTTGTTGTTAAAACTCTGCAGTGTTATCTGCCCATAGTGATCCAAAGTATGTGATGAAAGGAGTTACTCATGGTGCATGTGACTATCTACTGAAACCGGTTCGTATTGAGGAGCTGAAAAACATATGGCAACATGTGGTGAGAAGCAGATTTGATAAGAACCGTGGGAGTAATAACGGTGACAAGAGAGATGGATCAGGCAATGAAGGTGCTGCAAATTCTGATCAGAACAGTGGGAGAGCCAACAGAAAACGTAAAGATCAGTACAATGAAGATGAGGACGAGGAAAGAGATGATAACGATGATCCTTCTACTCAGAAGAAGCCACGTGTTGTTTGGACTGTTGAGCTTCACAAGAAGTTTGTAGCTGCGGTTAACCAATTGGGATTTGAGAGTAAGTTTGTTGTTAATGTCACAAGAAAAACACTCTTTTGCTGGTTATAACTATGTTTTCTTGCTTCTTGTTTTGACCACAGAGGCAATGCCTAAGAAGATTCTTGATCTTATGAATGTTGAGAAGCTCACTAGAGAAAATGTGGCTAGTCATCTTCAGGTTTCAAAAGAATCATTCATGCTTCTTTAACACAAACCAAGGCTTTGTTTATAAACCTCGAAGCTTATCATTTTCTTCTTCTTGGCTGCAGAAATTTCGACTTTACTTGAAGAGGATTAGTGGTAATCAGCAAACTATAATGGCAAACTCTGACTTACACTTCTTGCAAATGAGTTCTTCTCTCGGTGGACTTGACGGTTACCACCACCGCCCAATCCCCGGTCAGTTCCACGGTGGAGCCACCGCGATGAGACCTTTCCCTCCAAACGGGATTCTTGGTAGACTCAACACTCCTTCAGGGATAGGTGTCAGGAACCTTTCATCTACTTCTTCAGGGATGTTCTTGCAAAACCAAACCGATCTTGCAAAGTTTCACCATGTCTCATCACTTCCTCTTAACCACAATGACGGAGGAAACATACTTCAAGGGATGCCTATGCCTCTAGAGTTCGACCAGCTTCAGTCAAACAACAACATCAGAAACATGAACAACAACAACAACAAGAACACGATTGCTTATCCTAGCTTCTCTACACAACAAAGCTCTCTCATCGGTGCTCCTAATAACAATCTCTTGGTTCTTGAAGGTCATCCACAAGCATCGCCTCCAGGCTTCCAAGGACACCAGATCAATAAACGTTTGGAACATTGGCCAAACGCTGTATCCTCATCTCCTGCTCAGAACAGTAATAGCATCATCCATCATCAGTTTGATGTCTCTCCCATACCGCATTCTAAACCGGATTCTTTGGAATGGAGCAATGGTCCAACATCAAGCTATTCTATCCCATTTTGTGACTCTGCAGCTCCATTGAGTCCAGCCTTGGATACAAACACTCAAGCGTTTTGCAGAAACACAGAGTTCAACTCAAATGCAAATGTGCAAACCGGAGGAGTCTACTATGATTCATTGCAGATGAGGCAATACGGTCCAAGCACTGATGCTATGTTGTTGAGTAGTAACCCCAAGGAAGGATTCATCGTTGGGCATCAGAAGTTACAGAGTGGATTCTTGGGTGCAGAGGCTGGTTCTTTAGATGATATAGTCAACTCCACAATGAAGCAGGTGTATGAGATTGTTAAGCTTTTGCCAATAGAAAGCGTTTTTGATTTGAAAATCATTACTATGATCTCTGAGATTGTGAATATTTTTTTTGCTTTTGATTGTGAATAACAGGAACAGAGCCAAGGAGATTTATCTGGAGGAGAATTGGGATATGGAGGCTTTAGCTCACTCAGGACATGCATATGACTGGGAGAGAAGATTTAGACATAAATCAAAACCATCTTTGTGATTGCTTTTGTCTCTTTCTTTCTCATATTTTCCTCTGTATTGATATTGTAAACTATTTTTTTTTTTACTTTCCCACTGGTTATAGCAATTTAGGAATCTAAAGAAATAATAAAAAAGAATTCATAAAATTTTTTTTTACCATTTTTAATGTATTCTCTTTTGTTTTGCTCTGAAGTTTTTTTTTGTATCTGTAAAGGTTACCAAAATTGACAAGTCTTTCAACTCAAACACGGTCTGAAAATACTATCATTAGCCTATGAATAAACAAGTCATAGACCTTCACATAAAATGCCTATAAAGATTAAAGAGACGACAAATTATGAATATATATCCAGAAATTAAAGGATATAAAGTTCTTTTAAAAGAAGAAAAAGGTGAAATAATTATTCCAAAAAAGTGATGATGACCAAATAAAAAAGCAACAGAGATTCCATTGACTCACCACTCGAGCCCACTATATTAAAGTCAACACAAGTTGGTATTGCATGTGCATATTTAGTCTGATATATAAGTATAACTATGATTTTTGACTGAAAATGATTCAAGAAAGAAGCAGGACAATGTGTTTCGTTGAGAGACCTCTTTCTGTGTCTCATGAGTCAAAAGACTCAACACTTAACCAAACCGAAACAGAACCGGTTCAAGTTTGATAAATGTCCTATGAAACCAAACTAATTGGACATTTATAGCTGAAGCGAAATTATAGTTACATTGGTGAGGCATTTCTGCTAACCGAAAGTGTTTTTTGGAAGTGTTCATTGTTGTAAGATATTCGCAATGTGTTTATAGCTATGTCCAATGGTGGCGTGTTGTTAGATGACTGAAGCAAATAACTTTCTAAAAATAGCAACAGAATCACTTTATCAATGTTTAAGCCTAGATGTTGCCCAAATAGAGCTCAAGATTCGAGTCTTAGAAAAGATTAAGTCCATAATTTAACAACAATATAACAGAAACAGCTGTTCCTACTTAATGACCCCCTTTGGTCTTTGAATCTCTTAAAAGATAGTTCACCAGTTGTCAATCAAAAGACACTGGCCTTATCTTCTTCTTTGGCATCTTCCATTTTCTCATCAACACTTCCACTAGCTCCTTCAATGTTCTCCTCTCCCTCCAACACATTCAGATCGACGCTGGCTCTTACCGGTTTAGCCTCTTCGACCGAGTCTTTCATCTCAACATTGTTTAGGTCTGGCTTCGTGTCTTCATGTGACTTCGCAGAGAGGATCCTGGTAATGTTGTTACTGACAGATTCGAGAGAACGTAAGCCCTCACTCATCTTGCTATTAGACGATTGGTTGTTCACATATGCTTCAACTGATTCACGAGCGTGCTCATTTACATCTTCGCACATCTGGATAAGAAGAGAGCATAGAGGTTAGTGTGATGATACTGATTCTAGACATTAGCCTTCTTCCACCAAAAGACGGAAACGCGGCTTTACCTTGTTAAATTGTTGAGCTATTTCAACTCGTTCTTGGTTGTTGTCAACAGCAGCAGCCATTATTTCATCTGAAGCTGCATTGAAGAGTAAGAGAGCTCACATTAGAACCAACCATCAACTAGTTTAACTAGAGAAACTTGTGATGGAACTTACTGATGGGGTCAGTCTTAGGAAGTCTATCAAGCATTTCATCGTCGACCTCCATAAAGCTTGCCCCCACTGTGTCGGTGACCTTTACTTCAGCTTCTGGTTCTTCACTAGGTAGAGATGATGAGCCACCACGTTCCTGCAACCGGAGATTCAAACAAAAAGTTTAACAACGCCGGCACAAAGACATGTAAGTAAGTACGGACACCACTGCAGATTGACACAACATACACAATGATCCACTGCATATTCATAATTCAACGCCTTCTCCAGAAGCAGAACTCGCTTTTTCACAAATTCAACAAGTCTTCTCTGCATGTCCCGGTAGTAGAACATTGAGTTCACTTGACCATCAGCTATAGCATTGTTGTTCCCCGTGATAACGCTTCCATGATTCTGGCTATTCTGCACTGCTCCAGGATTGGAGCTTCCACTACCATTCTGCCCTTGCAAGCCAGCTTGTTCAGCAGCAGACAAACTTACGTGAGGGAAGTTCAACTCTTTGCAGATAAGCTCTTGGATCCCTAACTCTTTGTCATCAACAATGGCTTGCCAACGTCCGTACCCATGCCTAAAGATTCAAAATTCCAAGAGAAAGATATAAAAACATGAGAAAGTCATAGAAAATGATGAGAGAATAAAACCACTTGGTGAGAACACTGTTGAAGGGATCATACTTTAGAACAGCACGGAGCATTATCTTGTCATGTTCCTCCTTCCAAATTTTTCCACTTCTCAGACCTGGGAATCTTTCAAGAATGCCGTTGGGGAAAACAGATTTCGCTGGATGATCTTCTACATATTTCACCTGTCAGGCCAAAGCATAAACAAGTAAATGAAGCCGAACATGACCAACCTTTTACCACAGGAATGCACCGAAACTACTTAGACCCTGGTTTACAGAGGTTTGGACATTATGATTACTGACTTTTAATAAAATGGTTATAACTGTATTACAAAATTGGTACAGATCATACTATAGCCTAGAAGCGACAGATACAAAAAAATAGGACTACATTCTCTCTTGCATCATCTAAGCAATTGTACACAACAACAGCAAAACACAGATACAGAAACTCGACCGTGTGGCAACACTGTGCATTGGTTCTCAGTTGAAACTCAGAAATAAATAAGAGAAACATATAAAAAAGGATTACACTAGATAGACTCACCTTCTCCTGTACTAGCATCAGAACAGCCATTCTGACTAGAACATCTTCAATTCTAAGTCCTTCCTTGGGCACACCATCTATAGACAAAGACCATTGCAGTAACATATTTAACAGGTTAAGAGGAGAAGCAGCAATCACATTTAGACAAACAGTGACAAGATCAATCAGTCACCTAAAAAGGTTGGAGAATTCTCGTCAATATCTTCAGCAATGTGCTTCAAGAAGAGTATTCCATATCTGAGAGGCAACCATCAAACAATCAGTTGATGAGAAAGAATTGATCTTTTCTAAGACTAAACCAGAACGCCTTTCTATTTAGCGATGATCTTTTTTGTTAAAAAGCTGAAGAGGAGCAATAATGAATTGAGTCAATTACTCTCTTATTTCATCATAGGTCTTCTGCTTCAAGCGAGGAACAAACTCCTTCCAATCGCAATTGCCAATTCCATACCTGCAAATTTTTGGACCAGACGACAAAAAAACATGTAAACCACGTACAGCACAAGACTGAGGATATATTGACGCATCGGGAAACAAAAATGTAAAATCTAGACAATATAGTTTTCTGTGTCTAAAGGCCTTTATCAGAAAGAAGATACCTCATCAACGTCTGTACAAAAATGGCCCTTTGACTCTGGTTGAAACCCAGTACTCTAAAAGATCTCCCCTCGCCTTCCATCAAAGGAGTTGGCTCCGAGTTATCTACAGAAATAACTGTCAATAAACTGCGCAAATTCTAACTATCACTAGTTTCAGCTCCATTACAATTTTAAAAAAATTCAGAAATGTGGTAATACCTCGACCCCTTCTTCTGTATGGCCTTCTTCCCGTCTGATTACCTTGTCCCGGTGCTTCACCATCCGTTGACTCTGCTTCGTAACTTTCATCTCCATCAGAGCTCACATCTTCCAAACCAGCGAGATCATCTTCTTCAACAGATACCAACTAGAATTAAAAAAACGTAGAGGAATTAGAACAGCCTTGCTTGAAATATATGATACAAAGGTGGCAGACTAAAACAATGTATACCGTCCGTAATTAAGATATATCAAGTAAACAGAGAGTGAAACAAAAACTATTTCTTGCATAAGAAAACAAGAACTATAGTAACTTAGGTCTCTATCAACCCCAATCAATCTATAAACTTCTGAGTTTTCTTTCCATTTTTTACATGCGCCTTGATTCAACATGAAAACTCTTAAGATCTTTCAAAACAGCTGATATGACAAGGGCGTGTAGCATTTATTGAATACAAACAATAAATGTTGAAGCATGTCAATATACTTTCTGATTTTTCCTCTGCAAGTGCCCCATACCACCCAGACGAATTTCAATTACAGGTCAATATCATGCTGAAGGAGATACCACAGGATGACTTTGGCCTTATTCAAATCTATTTTACGAAAAACTCTCAAAATCTATTCCAACGGTTGAGAGAACAATGGCATATAGCAATTATTAAATGTAGTCAACCAAATTACTCTTTCCCAGGAATTGAAAAGCAAAGAATGAGCCAAACAAGAAACGAATTTCTGACGTTGACCAGAATGAAAAGGATATGAATGGTGAAACTTTAGTTATCAATTTGATGCTACGATTGGATAAGGGAGATCAAGAAGAGCACAAACCTGCTTGCGATTTCTTTTCCTCTTTCCAAGAGAATTAAGTTCCTCAGCCTGCTGCACTTCAAATTTGTCTTTTAACAACTCTTCCCAATAACTTGCCCTATCTCCTGCTGAAGATTTGCTTTCAGCAGCAACTCTCTGCGCCTCTAATGCCGCCGCCTCATTTTCATCAATATACTCAAAATTTGCCACCTAAAATACAGGAAGAACATAGAATCTCTTACAAATGAAGTCATCTTCAGAGTTGGTGACACCATAGATACTGGACACCTTAATTGATGAATAACAGTCTATATGCACGCCAAGACAAAACAATGTTTAGGGATTTCAAATATCAATTATCCCAAAAATTCTTTCTCATCCTCGAAGGCAAATCATAGAACCACAACCACCTTTCCCTTTTATTCAATATTCTCGACTGCTTTTTCGACTACATCTCCCCTTCATTATTAAATATTGACATGCAGCAATGCAGGATAAAGCCTTATGTTCTAGGCTAGAACCTCTAGCTAAGTCTAAAAGACCACTCAAATAACACATTCACTATAATTCAGACTACATAGATATAACAAATCTATAGGTTTAAAATTGGCTCAATCAACATCACCACAAGCATAAAATTTTAACCTTCAGTTATCATCACTAATTTTCATTGAGTTTGCTTTCACTTTGAGCTGGAACGGAACAGTCACTAGACGGTTTCTATAAGCATCAAAGCGAACTGGCTAAAAATGCACTGATCTTCCAAACTTAGCAAGTCAAAATTTGACAATATTGAGCACATTGGAAGAGATTTCGATAGCCACCCAGTGTCTGAAGACTGTGAAATACTAATAGAAAAAGAAGAAAAGTAAAAGGGAAACTAACCTTGAAGGCCTTTAAGAATCCATTCTCCTCTTCATCATCCACAGCGATCTCCTCAGCATCAACAATATCACGATCAAGCAACCTGCAAAGGAGAAAATGAAAGAAATAAAGATATATTTCCATGAAACTAAGTGATAGCAACAGCTTTCATTAGGAAAAGCGCAGAAATCCATGGATACCAACAAAAATAAAAAAGGAAAGCGAGGAAAGAGTGTATTACTTGTCTATTGCTGCATCATCATAATGAATTTTTCCAGACTTTCCTGCTTCATCATCTTCACTAGCAAAAAGCTCCTTTGAACCATATCTGATGATGTCATCCAACTCTTCCTAAATTGCAGTCAGGAAAATAAATCAAACAAGAAACTTAGTGAAAAGCAATCAAACAAAGATGGACTTCCTTCTCTAGTGTTTTTGTCTTTTAGTTTCACACAAATAACAAAAAGGTGTTCCTCATGTTTCTACCTTCTAACTCCAATCAGGAGATTTGTAAATTACGATAAAAGGTACATCTTCAAGCAATAAAATTATACCTGATTAATGTTCTGTGTTTTTAATTTCCCGACAACAAGATGCTCTAGAACCATCTTCTTCTTAGTCAATTGCATCATCCTTTCTTCGATGGTGCCTCGGTTTATGAGCCTGTAAATCATCACCTAGAGCGAATATAAGACTACATTAGTGAAATAAACCAAAAACAAACCTGAAAGTGCAAGTTGACAGCACCGAGAGAAATAAGTTCAAACCTTATTTGTTTGGCCAAGTCGATGAGCTCTAGCCATAGCTTGGAGATCGGCATGAGGATTCCAGTCACTACAGAAGCAGAAAAAAAACATTTCAATCATAGGTATGAAAATGTGAACAGATGTAAACCAAAACAGACGGTCGTCCAAGTAGAGTCTGATGTCTACTTCACCCACATTGCATGCTAATAAAAGTTTCTTATCGGGATAATAATATTCCTAAACATCCCACTGTCTTAGAACTTGCATGTTCAAGAAAATGGTACTAATTTGAACCCAAAAAAAACCCAAGTACTTTTTTTTAATCACTCATCATCACACAGGACATCTGCTTAAAGCATCCAACTCACTTGAAAATCAACATTGTATTTTCAATTCTCATGCAATCAAGCCAAATAACTCCTCTAACTGCTAGACACAATAACTACGGTAAAGAACGAACAGATGACACTAAGAGAAGCTGAAAATCAAACCTGTCATAAATGATGACTGTATCAGCGGTTGCAAGATTTATTCCTAAACCACCAGCTCTTGTGGAGAGCAAAAAACAAAATCTGTTAGAGTTCTTGGCATTAAATCGATCTATGCGTATTTGCCGCTCAGCTCCGCCAACCTTTCCATCAATTCGCTCATAGAGCCATTCCTAGGAAAGACAAGATAACGAACATTATAAATCATATGAAAAGTGTTCCTTAACTGCGTATCAAGAAAATGTGATGAAGAGTGATAAAAACAAGTAGTCTCCAGTGAATGTGTCAACGATAGCAATGGTAATGATTATGGCGTTTCAAGAAATACAAAAGTAATCTTCGAGGGGATAAAGAAGTTATATTGCCGACACAACAAGTAATATATCCATGATTGCGCCTAACAATGCTAATTAGAAAAAAAAGATGAGATGATTCTATAGACGTCAAAATGGTATTCTACAGAAAACCAAGAATGAAAATTTACTGAAGCAGAAAGCACAGATACCTTATAGGAACAGTAATCTTCAAGTAAATCAAGCATGTGCTGAAACTGCGTGTAGATGAGAACCCTGTGTCCTTGCTCTTTCAGCTTGACCATCATTTTGTCTAAAAGTTGCAGCTTTCCACAAGATTCCACAAGTTTACTTCGATACAGTTAAAAAGACGTTAACGCAAAAGTTAGCACAAGACTTTAATACGTTCTATAGACAAATACAGTCAAATTTTCTAGTCCATTTAGGGGAATGAAATGTTACTTGAAAGCTTCATGTGCGTCATGAATAACTGGCTCAACACCTTCCAGCATGTAAGGGTGGCAGCAAACTTTTCGTAATTCCATCATTATGTTATTAAGAGAAATCTGAAATAGAATTAGACCAACACAATCACCAGCCAAATTACAGTAGAACCGGTTCCTACTCCAACTACGAGGTATATGGATCTGAAAAGGTATACAAACATTTTAAAAAAGAACTTACTTGAGCACCTCCTTTTTTTGTCAATATTTGATAGTTACGGGTAAAAATTGCTTTGTAATATTCTTTTTGCTGGCTGCTTAAGTCAACACGTAAAATGAGCTCCTTTTTAGGGGGCATGTCTTTCATTACATCTTTCTTCACCCCTGCGAAAGCAATCAAAATACGACACACCATTGTTAACATCATTTACTTATTACTTTGTCAATGATTCCATCAGGCCGAACATTTGAAACAGATACACATTAAAAAAATGACCAACAAGTTTTGGTTTATACTTCTGAGCAAATGTGGAGCCAACATTTTGTGGAGTCTTGAAATCTGCTCCTCTTGGTTAATATCTTTGAACTCCTCCTGGAACTCCTCTAAACTGGCAAACTGCAAATATAAAGCGCAATCAAATAAAATGTTAGCTACATAAAATTCTGTAAATATTATTTATCTGTGATATCCTTTGTCTACCTTCCCCGCGTCAAGAAAATGCATGAGCATGAAAAGTTCATCCAAGTTGTTCTGAAAAGCCACCGCGTAATCATTAGTCACATGTAATATTTGGCCACCTAAGATAAATAAAAAATGCAGAGCACAAAAGGAGTACTAAATGATACATATAGCCAACTAATTTCATAAAGTTGAGTTCTTCATAGATCAAGAACGATGTATAGAAACCAAGCCACTAAAATGGATTACTTGGAACATTTCTTGGACTGGGGATTGATAATTTCACCACCGTCGACAGTAATGCCTTTAATAAGAAAGCCTTCCTCTCTTAAGGTGGTCTGTTCAATACTTAATGCATTTCTGTAACAATTAATACCCTTAATGCTTTACCGATATAAAACACTATTCTCACTTTCATTTGAATAGATATCGATTCAGAAATCATAAATTTGTAACCGATCTTTATACACGAGAACAAATAAACGAAACCTAAGTGATACTGGAGACAAGTTCACAGATTACAGCTAATCAGGTAAGATCCGTAGCTACTATGCTCAGATACAACTATTGAAAAGAATTAATTCAAGGAATTAAAATCAAATGACAAACCTGAAGTGGAGTTCCTGTCAGAAGGATACGATGGTTACTGGAATACTGTGTCAACGAAGAGAACAGCTTTGAATCCTTATTTTTCAGTCGATGGCCTTCATCAACAATCTGACCAAGGAAATGGATACTAAGCTACATATGAAAGAGAAAGGGAGGCGACTGAGAGAAGATAATGTCTTATCACGCAATAAAAGTTACCATGCACTCCCACTTAATTGGTTTCAGAACTGCTGTGTCTAAGTTGATCATCTCATACGATGTGAGGAGGACATCAAACTTGATTCTTTTCTGTTTGCTTTCACTACTGATTTGTCCAGATTTCTTTTTCTTGATCTTCTTATGACCTTTTGGAAAGTAAAACTCGTGTTCTCTAATAACAGCTCGAGCTGGCGAAGTGCCAAAATACATAACCTGCTCATCAAATGACAACGAAGACCATTTCATTAACAAACAAAATAATATACCACAAAGACACAAATGGTGCGTGTACAACTGCATACATACCACATTCATCTGTGGAGCCCATGCAGCAAACTCTCTCTCCCAGTTTCGCAGAGTCGAGAGAGGAGCGATCACCAAATGTGGGATGAGGTTTTCCTCAAAAAGTGAAGCTAAAAGGGCAATACTCTGAATTGTTTTGCCTATAACAGAAACAAAAAAAAAAAACTCAAAACATTACAGGAAGGGAAGACGAAAGCATCTTGCAACAGATGAAAAGAATCTATGTGACCACACCGGTGGGATATTTGAAAATTTACCTAACCCCATTTCATCAGCAAGGATAACATGTGTCTGCTTTGACCATGAGAACCGCAAAAAATTAAGTCCCTCAAGCTGATATGGATGCAACAAGCCTTCAATAGCAGAAAGCATCTATCAGAACCAAAAACGAGAAATATGTACAACAGCACTACAGGTAAACGCATATGAGTTAAGGTGATCCGATTCCAAATACCTTTGAGGAATTCAGGACTATGATCAAACTGTTGAAAGTCTTTGGGATTTCTTCTATGGTCGACATCTTTACCTCTCCGAGTCCTAGAATTTATATCTTTAAATCTTTGGATTTCATTCTGAAAGGTCGAGATGTCTGCTTCTGACTCCCAATAACACTCATCGTAAGGGAGTTCTTTATATTTCACAAGATATTGCTCCTCACCATCTTCTTCCCTATATCATAGAAGAAAACAATGCATCAGTGATTCAGGAAATTCAATAGACAAAGCCGTCTATATTTATTTTAATGAAGCTATGGTGAGAAGAAGTAAAACCGAAAGTTGGCAAAAAAAAAAAAAGGAAATCTTTCCATCACTAAACCTGTATGCAAGAATCCGATCAACAGTGGTCCACTCAGGACGAATGGGAACAAAATCATCTTCGTTGTGATTGACTGATTCCGACTTTTGACGGTGAAAGTGGTTCACCCTGGTTTTTAAACGATGATTGGACTTATAAGCCTTCACGAACTCCTTCTCAGGCACCCTGTGAATCGGTAAAGAGGGAAAAGTAAGAAATCGTTTGTTTATGTTCACAAACAAGAAGCACAACACACTCGGTAATTACCAAGAACAGTGAAGGTATGACAATCCCTTCCACTTCACGAGATACTGTTTCACACAAACTTGCTTTGGTGCCGCATCTGAGGAACCTTGTTCAGTCAATATTGTAGGACGCACTTCACATTCCAATATCTTATCAATCTCGTTAAGAGGACTAACCTGAAAATGTCAAAAAAACAACAACTCTCAGTGAACTTCCATTGTAATGAAATGGAACCTATGGCCATTCAAACACAAAATTCAAAATCTTACGCATTCAGGGCATCTCCAGTTTTCCACGGAAGAGTCTTTCAGAGGCGGAACTAAGCATTTCCCATGAAAAGCATAGGTACATGTATTGCAGCTTACAAGATTAGCACTTTCCCCACAAGCCTGACAAGCATTTTCTTTCTGTAGCATTCAGAGAAACAAACGAAAAAGGAATATAAAATCAGACGGAAACAAGCATCCACACGACTCATGAACAAAGTAAGAGGAGAGACAAGACAACAAACCGCGTCTGTTCTGACAATAGCTTCGACTTGCTCTAGTGTCCTATCCTTTTTAGGTACAAAGTCATCCTCATCAGAATCGTCTAGGTTATAAACTGGTTTCCTGTCTGATCGTATACGAAGCCTCTCCACTAAGCTACTCATTTTTTACTGCACACAAACAATCTGTTTGAATTAGGGTTTCCAGCTACTGAATGCAAAATTTCATAACTAACTGCTACCTAAACATCATAGTAAGTTTCAATTCCCAATCTAAAACACATCTCGAATAATCTAGGGATTAGATTTGTACAATAGAAGAGAAGCAAGTAACTAGCTTTTACAAAGCTTTTAACTTTAATCCCGATCGAGTTTGAGATCGTCATAAAAACCACAGGCGGATGATTAAAAACGCTTAAAAGAGAGAGATACAGAGAAACCCGAACAAACCCTAACCAAAAAAAAAAATCCGGCAAACAAAAAAGGAATCAATTTTTGTTTCCAAATGTAAGCATCCGAACTCGCAGTAACAACCCCCTTGCAATTTCATGAGAAGATCAGAAATTTTCCAGACATTTTCAAACTCAAGTAGTACAAATAAAAAAAAGGAAATTGAAACGAAGAAAACAGTGAGTTAATTCAGAGGGGAAGAAAATTGAGAAGTCGCAAGAAAGTTACGTTGTTGAAGGTTTGAGCTAAGTGAAATCAGATAAGAGTGGAGGAGAGAAGGAAGGCGGAGCTTGAAATTTGTTGGGATCTGTCTATCGGAGAAGTAAATCTCCGAAACTCGAAAATCAGACACAGACGAATTCTTACTGTTACAGGTAAATGCCGGTTTACATCTAGCTGACGGTTCTACTCAAACAATATTTTCCTCCTTTTATCTTTTTCTTTCCACAAACAATTTCATTAATTTCAAATCAAAAACACAAATATTATTCTATAAAATTTAATATTTCAATATAAATATAATACATGTTAAGCTTATGGATAAGATATGAATATACCAAAAAAATTTCTGATCAGTAAATTTAACTAAATATTAATAAATATAGATATAAATTATTAACATAAATTTTTGGATATAGAATAACAAATTTAGCATAAAAAAGAAAAAGAAATATATATATAATTTTTATCTAATTAAAAGAAAGTTTGAATTAAAAATAAAAAAATAGAAAAAGGTAAATAAAGATATTGCTTCACTCACCAGTTAATTAAATAAATTATGTTTAAAGTTAAATAGAAAATGATTATAATTACTTGCTAAGTAAAGTTGTCACTGAAAAAAAAAATTACATTTTTCATAATGGTTTAGATTTTAGTGAAACAAAATATTTTAGTGATTTATGTAACCAATATGGTTATATTTAGTTTTAGGTATTTTGGGAAGGGTTTTCATGTGCTAATCATATTCAGAAATTATCGTATTATTTTTAATTTTGTATCTAAATTTATATTACCCGAATTTATTATCTATTTTAATTCTATAATTATAAACTCTCATTCCAAATCCTGAAATGCACAAAAATAATTATAAATATTTAACTCAATAAAATTCATCAATGCATTGACTTCATGTAAATTTATAAACTTATATTTAGATTGTAAAATCTATTTTAACTATTTATACCAAACAATAATTAATATTATAATATTTGATTTTAATAACATCAAACAATAAATCCCTATTTCATCAACCATATAACACCAATGAAAACCATAAGAGTTCACCATAAATCTACATGTTTTACTTCTATATTATATAATTACAAAGTATAAATTATACGTGTTGTTCTCATATTTACTTTCACCGAATTTTTTTTAACTTTTTACTATTAAAAAATATTTTGATTTAATTTCCTTGATTTGATTTATTTTTGATCTTTAAACTTAAATATATTTTGCTAAAACTAATTAGTTTTGACGCCGCAAGTCAAACTTATATCTTTTAATCCTTTTCTTAAACTATATATAAATTTAGAGCAGGGTTCTTCAACATTCTAAATCGGTGGCTGCACATCTTCTCTCTTTGCCATTTCCCCTCTAAGCTCTTTGGAAAAACCGGTCTTAGAAAACTCAAAATTAGGGTTTTATCGAGAACTTTGTTGCAGAAGAAATGATTGATTTGTAGTTCTTCAAAGGAAGGCTAAAGCATCGTAGTAAGAAGAAGATTTTATTCTAAAATTCAATTGCTATGTTATGTAGGGGGAATTACCGAATATGACTTAAAACTTGAATTGAAATGCAAAACTAGATCCCCTATTGCATGTTTGACAAAAAATAACTCACAAGGGTAATAAAATTACAACCTTAACCCTTATGACCAAACAAAAAAATAATTGCCTCAATCACTGTTTTATCCCAGAAAAGTCTACGCTCTAATAATTTCTTTACCATTAATTACAAAAATCAGAAAAATAATTTGGTAAAACAATTATATACATAACAAAAATATATTTTTTTTTACACCTATTTAAAATAAAATTTGATACAAAATACTCAATTTAAATCATCATAAATAAATTAGGTTAGAAATCAATACTAAGTAGACTTCTCGAGTAGACTTCTTTTGAGAAGTCTACTCTCTAATAATTTATTTACCATTAATTTAAAAAAATTATGAAAAATAATTTGGTAAAACAATTATATACACAACTAAAACATATACAATTAGCATATATAGAAAATAAAATTTCATGAAAATGAATCAATTTATAAGTTTCATGAGTATACAATTCAAAAGGGTTGGGATTGAGGTTTAGGGTTTAGGGTATAAGGTATAAGAGTGTAATTCTTAGGTTTGCACAAATTCTATATGAATTATAGTTTATGGTTTGGTTAATGAATTAAGGTTCATATATTTGTTATTTTAAATGTGGTTGTCAATACGATAAGTAAATTTATGTTTTCATATAAGTTTTAATAATAAAAAATGATTTAGGGTTTAAGGTTAAGCAGACTTTCTGAGTAGACTTCTCGAGTAGACTTCTCAGACCGAAGTAGACTTCTTTTGTAGACTTCTCGAGCCGAATTAGTCTTCTTCAGCAGACTTCTCGAGTAGACTTCTCCAGTAGACTTCAAAAAGAAGACTTTTCCAGTAGACTTCTTGAGCAGACTTCAAAAAGAAGTCTACTTAAACAAAAAAAATTCTATATATAAGGAGAGTTTAACCTAATTGTATTAACAATAAAGTCTCTCTCTATCTCAAAAAATGCCTCTCTCTCTTCTCCCTTCTCTCTGACCATGAATTTCTTATCCTTCCTCTCTTGCTGTTAATCTCCTCTCAATCCTCTCTATCTTGTATTCAACCTCCTCTCACTTGGAGGTTATAGTAATACTGGTAAGCAAATCTGAGCTTTTGTGTTTCTCTTTTTGTTTGCTTTGTGTTCATATTGCAAATCTGAGCTTATTAATATAGATTTTAGCTTATTGTTGTAGATCTAAGTTTATTTTTGCAGATCTGAATTTATTGTTATATAAATTTTGTAGATTTTGTTGTAGATCTGAATTTTGTTGCAGATCGAAATTTTTTTGTTATAGCTGTAGAGCTGAATTTTGTTGATTTTTTGCAGATCTGAATGTTATAAATATAGTAGATTATGTTGCAAATCTAAATTTTAACATTTCTCTTTTATTATCGTTGCAGATCTGACTTTATTTATATTAATGGTTTTGTTCTACAGATCTCAACAAAGCTCTTGCTTGTCTCCGCCGGATTTATGTGATTTGAAGGTTCAAAACATTAATTATACGGCGCCATTGGTCAGAATCAGACTTCAGCCGCACACTTCTCGAGCAGACTTCTCGAGTAGACTTCCCAAGTAGACTTCTTGAGTATACTTCTTGAGCAGACTTCTCGAGCAGACTTCTTGAGCAGACTTCTCGAGCAGACTTCTCAATTAGACTTCTTGAGCAGACTTATCAAGTAGACTTCAGTTGCTGACATATTTTTTAGATATTTTAGTTTAGTAGTGATTTCTTATGCTAATTTTAAGATTTATAATCAGTGATCCTTAAATATTTGTTTGTTTAAAGGGTTATTTTCTATGTATTGTTGAATTGCATTGAATGTTTTGTATCATATTCCTAAATTATGTGTGTTTATGTATTCTACAAAATATACTTCACTGTTAGACTTCATATTCAGACTTCTCGATTAGACTTCTTTAGTAGACTTCTCTTGTCTCGAGTAGACTTCTCTTGTCAACCGAGTAGACTCCTTTTGTCTCGAGTAGACTTCTCTTGTCTCAAGTAGACTTCTCTTGTCAACGGAGTAGACTTCTCTTGTCAACCGAGTAGACTTCTCGAGTAGACTTCTCCTGTCTCGAGTAGACTTCTTAAAGACATTAATTTTACATAACTTAAAGGTGAGGGACATTTCCCCCATTTATATGACATAACTTGTCAACCGAGTAGACTTCTCCTGTCTCGAGTAGACTTCTTAAAGACATTAATTTTACATAACTTAAAGGTGATTCAGAGGGACATTTCCCTCATTTATATGACATAATTTGTCAACCGAGTAGACTTCTCTTATCTTGAGTAGACTTCTGAAGTAGACTTCTCCTGTCTCGAGTAGAATTCCTAAAGACATTAATTTTACATAACTTAAAGGTGATTGAGAGGGACATCTCCCCCATTTATATTACATAACTTGTCAACCGAGTAGACTTCTTTTGTCTTCAGTAGACTTCTCTCCAGTAGACTTCTAGTACATAGTAAAGTATACTTGTTCAGATTCAATCAGCACCATCATCAAATCTCTATGTAATAAAATGAGAGTATATAACGATTTGGCAGGAGATAAAACATTACACAACAAGTACAATATAAAGATTAACTTACACAATAGGGGTGAGTATGACCATGTTGCTTGCACTTGGAGCAACTGTATTACTTCACCTTTGTTTCTTTTTCTAGCATGTAATCCTCTTGCACCATTCCAAGAAGTTCACCATGTGTGCAACCATCTCTTAAGAACAACATTCGCCCTTTTTTGCTATAATCCACCTCGAACTGTCACATTGATTCACTCCTCACCCATTCTCTATAAACAGCGGGTATGTGAACAATTCTCTGTAAGAAAAAAAAATCCAAACCACATTAGAAATCAAAAATAGAATAAGTAAACTTCTCTGAAAGTCAGATGAAGTCTACTTAGT